GCCCCCCCCCCCCCACAGGTTGCTTGTACCATGTAGTTTTCAAGTTGCAAGAAAAGTATTGTTATTTACAGGACTGTTTTCGTATTCAACATGGCCGCGCTAGTGATGCTGTTGAACGTAGGGAAATGTTTGAAACATAAAGAAACTCGTACTCAGAGACTTTGTACTGCAGTCAAATTATGTATTTTAGTGTGTCGGTACTACTATTAACCTCCTTAAAGTGAAGAGGTCAATAATACGTGGAGCTACAACTCCACTTCTCAAAACGTCTTTGTGTTATGGCGCTTAATTGAATGTAGGTACAACATTTTTAAATTTCGCTTTGTTGGGTTTTATAATTCAACATAATTGTTTTACATTTGAAATGACATCATGACTTATGATTTCAATGGCAATGCGTATTCAACATACATGGTTTACCTTTGATATAAGACAAAGTTTGGTTTACTAATTCGCAATCCTAAATCAACAGTATATTTTTAACTCTGATTTGAGATCATCAAATTTATCTTGTACTTTGTTGACATTACTGATACCATAAAATTTAATTTGTTTCAGTTTAAGATATTGGAATTTTGTTTTATTTCAAATACTGACTCAGCATTTAAGTTTTATCTTCACGTGAAAATTATATATTATTTTGTCAGCAGTACAAATCCAAAGATATTTCTTATATTTGATTTCAACATAACACGGTTTTAATTTTTGTCAGTGCTAATTCGAATCTTTTAGCTTATCTTTGATTAAATCCCATTTTAAATCACAGAAGCTTCATTTCTGTATATTTTGTACATTAAATTGAAATTTCCTGTTGTATATTTTCAGAACAGATCTCTTTAATGTATTTCGAAACTTAATTTTTCCTTATTTTATATTTTACTTTTTTACATTAATAAAGCGTGTTTAGAGATTTTCTGAATTGTAATAATAGTTTGACTGTTAGATAGTCATGTCTTAGCCTACCATATTTCTTGATCTTTGTCGACGGCTCAATTTCGTCCGTAGGCATGGCGGCTTTCACATTAAAAAGAATACAGGACACGATTTACATTTTACCAGAAAAGCCCTTGGAGCATTTGCACCGAAATTAAAGACGGAAAATTTGAATCAGTTTATTTCAGGAAGTGGTTTCATTCTTAAAATCTGTGATTACCCGTTTCTCGTGTTTTAATTTAACTCTCTGTTACCCAAGTTTCCTCTAATAGTAGATCTGTTCTTGTTTTTTTGTATTCTAACTAATTCTGTTACCCAAGTTTCCTCTAATAGTAAGATCTGGTCTTGTTTTTTTGTATTCTAACTAACTGCATCATTTATATATGTGAATTCCATCTGTTTAATTATTTATCGAGATGTTTAAATTTTCATATTTTTTTACGGTTTTCTTTTGTTTCAGATCCGCCAGAGATCGAAGTGGAGCGAAGCTGGGTTCACACAGGCGAGGGCTACGAAGCCCAGCTGGTTTGCATCGTTCATGGTGAACCAGCCCCTGAGGTCAGTACGCCACACGTAACATAGGAGTAAGATGGAAGAAACTGTGAAATAAGATTGTAATTATTACGTGGAAATTTAATTCAGAATTTACAAATATGTGCCTACATTATGTGTGCCTGTATGTATGAATGTTAAAACTTTTAAAGTAATTACCATTAACACTACAAATATTCGTATCAATATATTATTAACAGTGGTGGAATGGAAAAATACATTGAAACAAAAAAAGTTTGCCTTCGTGGCCTAATGTTCCTCTTTTATAAAATGCGACGAAACAGTATGCACTTTGCAAAGTTCGAAAAAAATATACGTAATCTCGTAGATATCGGTCGTCTGATCACAAAACCTTTACTTATTTTAATATATTTTATCTTATTGAGCATTAGGACCACTTTAATTTTCAAATTAATGTTTATCTACCTTTGTGGGAACTAACATTTACTCAAAATTTCAGTTAGCGGAAAAGGCTTATAGATTACATTATTCCACAAGTTCTTCAAAGAATACGAGATAAAGGTTTAAAATCTTGCGGGAAGGACTAGTGCCACATCTCCGTTCGACCACAAGATTGAGGTTAGAGGTGCGAGGAGTGCGGAAGGCTTAGTTGTCAGCGCCACGACGTTACGGTTGAGTAGTAACTCAAAGACAAATCACTTAAGCGGGCTGGAAGCCTGGAGAAGACAATTGGGTTATGTGAGTTAATGAACAATGATTGTGTGTAGCAGGTGAAGTGGTCCTGTTGGTGACTTGAATCAATTATTTCTGTAATAATCAGCAAATAAATTAGATTTGAAATAAAAATGAAAGTAAGAAAGGAAAGGGAATAATGAATATGCCTTAGGATAAAAGAAGGTAGAGAAGGGTTCTGAATTATCGACGACCTAATACATCGTTCGGATTCGTCATCCATTCTATATTATACTGTCTGAGCGCAAAAACACACCATAAATAAAATAGACAGGAGTTAAAGAAAGAAAGGACGAGGGAAATAGAATTGAACGAAGAAAGATATAGAAAGATTCTGAAATATATCAGAATATTTTTTAAAAACTGATACAATTTTATTTTTTCAATACAAATTGTTGAAGAATATAGGAGGTCTAACATTTCAAAGTCTTGCTTTTAATAGAAGTTTTGTGGAATCTGCAATTAATATAAGAAAAGACTCGTTTTAAAAGCAACAAGGATTGCGAAATCTGAAGCTTAAAACCGAAGGAAATTAATTTAATCTCATAATGAGAGGGTCAGTCATTTAATTAGATCTTTATATTCAGTAGAATCGTGTCTCAGAACTTACATCTCTCATCGTGGCGTAGAATCTACTGTTCCAAACTTAAGTTTAATATTTTTCTCTTAAAATAAAGAAATAGGAAGGTAGTGACAGGTCTGAAATTCTATTTCACGTTTTGCAACAATCCAGTTTGAAACACAATACAACTTTTCAGCGATTTTCTGTATATAATTTTCTTTTTTTAAAACGATGTCATTTTTCTTTCCGTTGTGTTTCTTCCATTAAAGACATTTTTGGCGAATGTGAGAGAGTTTTTAATAACATCTTACTTTATCTTGCTAGATATTAAGGACACCAATTCTGTTTCCTCGCATAAAAGAGTACTAAATCTTTCTTTCGTCATAATTCGTTCTTCCCTTATGACTTGAATAACCCATTTAACACCTACAGAAAGAGAACCCCAATTCTGTGTAAATTAAAGATGGAAGAGAGAAAAGTTAAAAAAGGTGCGATTAAAAACTGAGTTAATTGTTCTTTCTTAGAATTTCACACAATAAGAAATGTGGGGGGGGGGGGGGGGGATGGATTCAGAGTGATGAGAGAGAAATGGTAATCTTACTGTTTAATTCAGTGGCACCCGGAAAACTTCTTAGCGCGGATGAAAGATTCATCGGTTCCGCACCGCACTTGTACATCGACGAAATCCCCTAGCCTTCCTCTGCTCTGATAAAATATCTAGGGCTGTCACAGACTTTCGTCTGTAACGGACACAGAAAGTTCCTACATTTCCCTACTAACACATTTATATTCAAGGACGAAGACAGTCGAAGATGTTAGGTCGTTGTCCTGCTACTGAAATTTTCGGCACTTTGAAGTCTCAAGTTTTTGGACGACGATGCATTATAATCTGTAAAAGAGGTGTCTTTGAACTTTGTCCATCTCCTGTATTTTAATAAAATTTTCGGAAATTAGATCTTCCTCCGTTTTAAGACAAGAGGTCTTTTGCTATCTCAACCGGGAAGCCCTACATTTAGGGTTTCTTTAATTTTCCTTTTCCTGAAGATGGAACAAGATCTAGCTTCCGAAACGTTGTAATATTATTATATTATAAACGACGTACGAAGTCCATCATATCACTTTTACTTATTATTTGTGGTTCTACGTTCTGATACCGTGCAAGTGTAATATTGAAATTATTTTTTTACATTTCGGAAAAATGTTTGTTTCTATAATTATCGTATTCGTTCTCTGAATAGCCCATGGAGGTAGTACTTGCTAGTTTTTTCACTACTGTTTGAGCTACCCCGTTGATTCTTAAGTTATGCAACAATTCTGAATGTTGAAGACGACTTTGCTTGATGAACTGAACAAAAATAGGATGACCGCTTTTAGGATAGCCGGTCCGGGGTTGCTTATTCCAACCCGTTACCTGCGTAAAGCGTAGAAGAATACTGACCAGTGCATCACGATTTGTGGTCTGGTTTAAGTGTCGAGAGATGGTATGATAATTTGTTTTTATGGTGACACAATACTCAACAATTTTAAAATGGATCTTGAACAATTAGAGGGAACTGTATTCATGTATCTCTGAATAGAGTACTGTGGGGTGCTCTTTTTCCATAAAGTTGGAGTGTTTCTTAATCATATGAGCGACTATAATCTTTTGTTTTTTAAAAAAAATCCCATCTATAATATATAAAGGATAAAAACTGTAAGTACCAGTAATCATTATACGTTTTACTGTGAATCTTAATATTTTGGTTATCTAACAAAACAGTGATTCCACCTACAGGAAACGCTTGGAAGCAAGTAATCCCAGTACTGTCAACTTCGGAAAGTTACAGCCAAGGATTTAAACATAAACTGTAGAGAGTGTGGGATGTTAGCCTGACACGATTTTCAATTTCTTGTTTTAAATCTGTTACCATCTGGAAGCAGTTTACCTCTAAAGGAAACTTTTCCTTCACTATAACAAAGACTAAGGTACAAACAGTAATGGATAATACAGCGCCATCTGCTGCTCAGCGTCTTCCATCTAAACAACTTAAGTTTTACCCTCAAGAATGAATAGGCATTACGTGAATGCGGGGTACGGTATTCATAAACAATCCGCGCAAAAGTGAGCTGAGTGATCAGTGACGTATCTGTGAAATTTTTTAACCTTGCTGCATAGCTTTCAGTTCGTCACCTCGTTCAAACGTTGTCCAAAACTCTGGTCATCTTCCTTACGCCACGCATCTGTCTTTGAGTCTTAGTAAGATTTGTTGACGTACTATTATTGTGCAAGAAGTTTGCTAGATTTTGTTTTTGAAACTTCGATGGAACAAGAAGATTTCTGTCTTCTGGGTTGTTGCGCTGTGTAGTCTGGTCGATGTTTACCAACGTTTCTGAGGTCATACTGCCTCCGTCATCAGAGTATGAAGATTTCTGTCTTATGGGTTGTTGCGCTGTGTAGTCTGGTCGATGTTTACCAACGTTTCTGAGGTCATACTGCCTCCATCATCAGGGCGATGAGTATGAAGATTTCTGTTTTCTGGGTTGTTGCGCTGTGTAGTCTGGTAGGTGTTTACCAACGCTTCAGAGGTCATACTGCCTCCGTCATCAGGGCGATGAGTATGAAGATTTCTGTCTTCTGGGTTGTTGCGCCGTGTAGTATGGTAGATGTTAACCGACGTTTCAGAGGTCATACTGCCTCCGTCATCAGGGCGATTCTTAGTATGAAGATTTCTGTCTTCTGGTTTCTTGCGCCGTGTAGTATGGTAGATGTTTACCAACGTTTCAGAGGTCATACTGCCTTCGTCATCAGGGCGATGAATTCTCTCACCATGTTTCCTTTAGACGCATTTTAAATATCTTCCTTTCATCTAACCCTAGGTCTTCCAACTGGTCTGTTTACTTCTCGTTACTTAACTGTTACTGTTTTGTATGAATTTACATTCCCCATTGATGCGTTTCTTCACGTGATTTAAGAACCACAGTTTAGTAGCAATCTCAGATTTAAGATGAAAAAACAGACTCTAACATATTTTTCCTTATTCCATTCTTGCAGAATATTTTCCCTCTTTTTGTAAAAATTGATCCCGGTTACGATGTATACCTAGCGGCTCAAAGAAAACCCGTTAATGGAAGCAAATTTAGCGCCAAGTGCTCATGCGACTGGTTGTAATTTACAACGCCTGTCAATCCAATTCACAGACGTGTATCCCTGACCATAAAGTGTCCGTAAGGTTCAGTGTACCATTAATTTACATGGATCAGACAACTTTACTGAACAGAAACCTACAGCGTTTAAAATATCACATGGAACCACGATCTCTTATATACGTATATGCAGTGGATTCCGGTTGATTGGGACACATCGGGGCTAGAACACTTTGGCCTAATTAAGCGGCTGCCCCAATTACGCGAAGTTTCAATTAAAGAGTTAAAAAGGTTTGTTCTTTAAGATTTGCCCCAAATAAACGGCTGCCCAGATTAACCGATGTCCCATTTAACCGGATTGTACTGTATTTACTGCAGAACTCGTTTGCTATGTTTACTAGAATGTAAGTCCTGAATGCAAACAATCCTTGGGATTTCGTAATGGGTATTTGTGTAATGGGTAATTGGTAATTTTCGTAATTCGGTTTCCACACTTGTACACAATCAGACTGAATGGATGGATACTATCATGAATCAGACCACCACTGCCTACTTCTATGTGCTTGCTTAATCACCATTAATGGTCAAGCTACGATAAAGAACCTAACACCCCCGTAACGTCTTCATT